ATATATATATATATATATATATATATATATATATATATCATACCTCTATTTATCATATTTATTATTATATTTATGAATTTTTTTATTATTATTGAGGTACCAAAAAACAAAAAAAAAATAGTTAGCAGGAGATTGGTTCGTAATTATGGTCATCTGAATCAAAGACGTAATCAGATCAAAAAAAAAATCAAAGACGTAATAATAGTACATTTACGTGGCAGCTAAGAAAGGAAAGGTGTCACACTCACGTGTCGCCACATACGTACGGTTTAGACACGTGGCTCTTAATTACGTGATTTGTTTAAACGTTTATTTTGGTTGTTTAATGCATAACTACTCGTGTTTCATGCACTAAACTCCAAAGACTCCATATATTAGCCACCAAACAGACCAACGATGTCGTTTAAATGTGTGCGAAACGTTTTTTCTTAAGGTCTGTTTGGTTAGCGAGAAGAAGATGATAAAAAATGAAAGATGTAAAAAGTGAAGTGAAAAAAAAGAAAGTGAAATAAAATATATTTTCATGCATGTATTTGGTTAACATAAAAAACTTCTAAGAAAATTTTAAAATAATCTCATTTCATTGTTTGAAAAAAAATTATCCTTAAGTATTTTAACTCGGTCTAAAGAAGAAAAACATATTTTTTATTATTGAAAATTTAAAAAAATTGGATCCTAACCTAATTTAGAAACAAAGATCGACTCAAACCTTAATATCTAGAACAAATTATATGATTAGCCTAATTTGTACATATTTTTTCAAAATTAATAAATAATTGAATATTTTAAGAAAATTAAGGGTAAAATAGGAAGTTAAATTATTGAATACAAGTTTCTTGTTATTTCTTGTATTTTTCGTAAGAAAAAAAAGTTAGTTAGATATGAGAACATTTATACATGAGAAAAAATTATTTTTTCTATCATTTTCTATTTCATGCTAAACAAACGTATGTAAAATTTTAAAATTTTCTCTTCTTTTTATTTTCTAACATTTTCTTGCTAAACAAACGGACCCAAAGAGTTCATCTCCTCCCACAAATTCCATCAGCTGAAAAAGTGCACTGTGTAAAAGTTTTTATTTGGATAAATTACGTTCAAGTCCCCCTCAACTATGACCCTTCACATTGTCCATCGAGTATTATTTTTTCACTTACATTTTAACTATGTAATTTGTTTCGAATTGTCTCAATTATTAACATCTAATGCAAAACTAACAACAAAGGTATTTCATTTTATTCTCTGAATTATGTAAAAGAAATTTACTTTGTCTCAACACGTTGGCAATTTCTGTCTAAAAAAATAGCAAACATTTGCGATTAGTGCGATATAAAATAATTCAAGTAATTTACGAGGCAATGTGAAAAATTCACTATTTCAAAGGGCAAAGTGAAACTGAGCCTATAATTTTGGGAAGCAGAGTGTAATTTTCCTTTCTAATTTCATTCCTTCTATTTGTTTAGAAAAAATTACAAAGAATGGAATATTGTTAAATATTAAAATTTTTTAATAATCATGTTGATTCGGAGTAAATAATGTGTCGCTCAATTGGGTATGCTTGTTTTTATTGTTTATAATATCACGTGTAATGTAAGTTTTTTTGTAGACTTAGCACATTGAATTTATTCTATGTAAGCTAGACCTGGATAATTTTTCTTATTAGAACCAATGATACTA